CTTAAACAAGGATGTTGACCCAAAATTAAGACCCTGGAGATTAGTTTGTCTTCACAAACATATGGTGAAAACTGAAATGATGGAAAATACACTCTGTCTCAACACACGGAGAGATGTTTACATAAATAAAGTCCATCATCCTCAGGAACACAGCATTTCCGAAAAATAAGCAATAATATCCAAAGCCGTCGGTATAAACTGTCAAATATTTCAACTAGCGGCCTTCCTGTTTGTTAATTCAGCCTGGATGGCATCCGATTACATTCCCATACTTTGGTTCCGACCAGAAACCGGAAGTGCGCGACCAAAACCGGAAGTACAAGTTAAGGGCGATATTTTCAAGCGAAAACTTACATAAAGCATGAACTGATCATCTAAGCAACTTGCAATCATTTTTAATTACATGGAAATATTTTTAGATACTTAAACCTATGAACTTATTTATTTAGAGAAATGTCTTAAGCTGCCTGAACCTCAACTCCTGTGCAAAGAATCAGATTATAGATTCCTCAAGAGGAGATGGCGTCTCTGATTATGTTGACAAGACAGTTTCCCCTCCTGCCTAATGAAGGAGGCATTGATGCTGCAGCTCTGAACAAGTGTACCAGTGCTTGTCAACACCAGGAACTGTTCCCAGAAGAAATCACAACCCTTCTCACTGGCTAGTTGGATGTGCTGAACCCCAGCCTGTTTGTCAGAATGGTTCACACTAGGATGTTGTGTCTGGGCAGAGATACTTACTTCATGAATTAGCTTAAAACAACCTCATTTATGTGTGTTTCGCTCTGTTTTGTTGCGCTTTAATTATTCAGGACAGAGCCAGCCCATAGGCAAAACGACCAAAGCTATCAGCGCTGCAGGCTGTTTTGGAAAGTTGACTTGCAAAGAGCCATTTTACTCCAGTAACTTAAGCTGGTGCCATTTTATGTGTTTTCCCTTCCTCTTATGTTACTACCCTGCAAAATAATATGTCTTCATAGTCTTAATTAAAATGTTGTTTCTGGTATCCCAGCCGCTAATGCTAACCTGGTTGCCACCATTAGTTCTGCCGTGTTTACAGTGTTTTGTTCTAAAGTGGTTGCTAAACAGCATCTCAGCTGCTGTTTTACATTGTTAGCTAAACCACTTGTTCGCCATGTCACATCATCTGTCACCGTGATGGCTAATTATCACAATGTTAAGAATCAATTCCCCAATTGATTCATTCCTAATTTAGTACATTATTTTGGGGACATTATTTTAAGAATAATGTTGAATTTTCCCTTCTGCTTTGTATTGTGGACTGGTTGTTTAACTCAACTTTCAACTTTTAAAGCTAAATTGTTCCCCATCAATCAAACCTTAGTTCTTAAATGTACATATTCACATCAAGTGATATCTGTGCATTGTTATTTTATTAGTTATTAGTGTTTGAGTGTTTCTTAATAAATGCTTGTAGTTTGGAGAGAACTTGTTAAAGTTTATTTTCTACATGTTTAAAGTGTTTTCTGTTCAATATACATACAAAGCCTCTCCATCATATTGTTTTATAATACCAGTCTAAAGATTATTAGACTGATGAATATGAGGTTCTTATGTACATTAGTTAAGTTTAAAGTAACACCCCAGCTGTTACATCTTTATACAAAAGACAATTAGATTTTTGCTCATAGCACATGACCTTTACAGCCAGCCTTCATGTCAGCAGTTAAAAAGAAACTATTAGCGTAAATTCAGCATAACACGTGTAGGTAAGACATGCACATGTTTCTTTAGCTCATATAGTGGGGAGAAGGGATAAATATACACTTGAGTTCTGTCACAACTGGATAAAAACCAGCCTCATTCTGTGTGTGTGTGTGTGTGTGTGTGTGAGCAAGTTAATCTGTGCATGTGCACAAGACACATAACCGGCAAAAATTTCAAGCCAAACCAGAAGGGATCCGACAGGATTCCAGGCCATCTGTCTCTGCCAGAAGAAACGATAGAGGGAGCAGTGATAAATTATTTCTCAGCTTGTGATCTTCGTGGCTGCATTCTTCCCTCTCCACAAGCATATGTGACCCTTGTCATTTTTCTTTTTTCTTTTTTTGCAGTGATATACTGCCTTCCTTTTCCTACATGTTTCATTCTCTTCCAAATGCACGGGTTCCTCACCCATGTTCATCTGCGGTCGGATCTGCGCGTCGTGTCATGTGGCCTTTTCCTCTTTTTTCAGACGCCTCCTAAAGTCCTCCATAAGTAGCAGATGGGTATAGCGGGATCGGGGAGTGTCCCGCGTCTCGCATCCAATAACATATGATGATGCGACACCCCAGGGAGAACAAAAGGGAAAGAGTGATCTCATATCTTTTTCCACACAAATCCGCTCCCTTGTTTAGGCTGTGTAAGAGTGGGAAAAGAAAACAGATGCCGAAGCAATTTAATGTGGAGTTAGTTAAGAGTTCGGAATGAGAGTGCTCTGCGGTGGCTGCACCATTAAGTCAGACCCACACTGGTCTCACATTAACAGACTTGTCTCCATAATGCAAATGTGGTGTGCCAGTACAGGCAAAGAAACGGGCCAAACCAACTCTTAAGAGGAAACAAAACGCATTTGCTTGGAAGTAAGACAGCAAATTTAATTGGTCAATCTTCTTAACTTTTACTGGAATATGTGCGAGTGATGCTGACGGAGCTGCGTGACGTTAGGTTTTCGGAATAAAAATAAAAGAGACGGAGACAAACGGAGATGAGTCATCGGTAAGAAAAAAAAAAATTATATGCAGAATTCTAATTATTTCTTAGAATCAGAAACACAAATGTGACAGGAGAAAGCAGAAAGAAGTGAAAATGTACTCACAATTGACACGTTCCTGTGCACACAGCTCTGTAAAAATGCTGGGTAAATAAATGAGATGACAAATTTAAAAACATGTCACGGATTTAAAATAAATTAGAAAAAAAACTTCAATCATTTTTAAGCATTCAGTCTTCTGTATTTTACTCCTCTCGCTTTTCATTTTGACTCTGATTAACATGATATCAAGCTTAGCTGTCCTGGGTGAGTTTCCCCAAGTTTCCCACTTTTCTGTCACTTACATAAAACTATAATTTCCACAGAGGCGACAAATGATCCAAAAGATTTATTCATACAAAGATATAATTCACAAGAAGGGTTGCAAGGCATTCTACTAATTATCTATGTATTATTGCAGAAGGAAATCAATTATCCATAGTTCAAGAAAATGAAGAACAGTTAAATGGAATCTTATGGAATGTTGCGTTTTGATGAAAATATACTTGAATTTTTGGCCCAAAACTTGTTTAACATATGAATTATGAGCATGAAAGAAACACAAAATGAATCAGTTGTAAACATTAATATCTAAAGGGTCTATTTATTGTGGGGTTTTTTTTTCAACAATCTTATATAAAGTCCATCTCAGACGTGAAGTAACGATTTGTTTTCTTCGTTCTCATCTGCTCTACACTGGAGTTTTTAAGGTCAGTGCAGACTTTCTCTGGTATTTTTATGATCTTTCCAGTTATACCACCTTGCAGCTGAACAACAGTGCAAAGATAAATTTATCCTGGACTTGAGTGGCAGTGACAGTATGTCACTATTTTTTGCTGCACATTACTATGTGTGTTTTTGACCTGAAAAGATTCTGTTTTCCCTGCACTTCAGAGCAGTACATAAATCACACAGATTTGTACGGTTCTGTTTCAACACATTCAGGCTCTGAAAAAAGGCATTAAAGTGTATTTTTGTTTGTTCACACATTCTTTCTTTTTTATTGTTTATGCAGGAGGGTTTTGTTTTCTCATCAGTCTCTCAAAGAACAAGTTTAAATCATGTCTATCGTCCACTTCCTCCCACAAACCAAAAACAGGAATGCTGGGCTAGTTTTAAATTTACTCGTCACAAAATTACGTATCTGTGTTTTGCATTTTAATGCAGATTTGAGCAATTAACCCTGCCGCATCCCGTTTCTAAGCCGCCGAAATTTTTTTTTTCTTTTTTTCAAAATAATCAGTGACGTAAATGGTAAAAATTAAGCCTAATTCATACCTCATAGTCAGCTTTACTGAGTCAGAGGTTTGACTTTTCAAAGTCTGTGTGACATAACTCAGCTAGGCTAACAATAGCATGACCAGAGCCACATGTTTGTCACAGAGGTCCAAGCGACCCCACGCATATAGAGAGGTTATTTTAAGCACTTTAAAGAGGCCGTACCACACTTATGCATCACTGTCACCGAGAGCTACTGAAATGCCAAAGCAGTGACCTGACAGTGATTACTTAATCCCATGCAGACACTCTGTCTGCGCTGATGAAGATTCACTCAAACCGCCGTGCTTGACGTGGCTCAGAAATAAGAAAAGTCCCATCATGTTATTATGGGCAGAAGATCTCAGACAAACGTTTCAGACACAATTATAGGTCCCAGTCAGGACGAACTAAGGAAGTCAGTGAAAACATGTCAAAGCTGTTCGTTCCCAGTGAGGTCATTATGTCAAACTGATTGGCAAAAGTTTTCGCTTATTTTATTTAATAGACTCATATTGACTCACTGAGTCACCTGCACCTACTCCGTACATGCTGTTCTATTCCAGTACAGAACCAGCCGTAGGACAGCTGCTGTGCAGATCATGACCAGACCTCTCGTCTGGTCATTTTGTTCTCGTGTTATTTACATACTGGCGAGGAAGGAAGAAAAGAAAAGAAAAGGATGGCTACCTGAAGATTAAAGGAAGAAAGAAAGAAGAGAAACACATTTATAACTGCCTGTTTGGCAGTTCGAATAATTAGATATGATACAGAGTAAAATTATTAAGTGGTTGTTGAAGGTAGGTGGCATTTCTTGTCGGTAATTTAAATCTGACCATTTATTTATTTACAGAAGTTCCTATCACTTTACATTCTTCACGTTATAACTTGGAACAAAACAAAAACATAAAGTGCTTACATGCCTGAAAAGACCAAAAAAAAACAACATGTTTATTAAATCAAAATCTCTCACCTACCTCCCAGTTTAATCTTTCCAATTTATTTATGTCCTAAGTTTGGAATTCCCAGTATAGCTTTAATTTAAATTCATAAAATATTTTTTTACCTTATAATTTTACAAATGGCTGCTGCCCATCAGCAGGCATCTCCATCATATACAATGAATCAGCCCTTTTCCGATAAACAATAAAATGCTCCCAAATTTGACCAAATTTATGTTATTTTCTAAAGTTATTTTTCTAAAGAACTCATCTATTCACCTTTGATCTTCGATATATTTTTTTGACAATAGGTAAATATTTATTGATCTTTTTACTCAATATTTTTCAGGATAAAGCCTAACATAAGTAACTTTGAGGTTAAAGGTAACTGAATTTTTAAAATATTTTAAATGCATAATCTCACCACTGACTTGCTGCGCTGCCAAACACACCGGTGGAGTCTACCTTTCTCCATTTCACATTTAATGTTGGTCAGGGACACTCCTGTTATATTTGTTCAGTTGTTTTGAGCAGAATTACGTCACGCTGTCATACTTTTTTCCATGTCAATGCTGAGCAGAATTTGAAAAAGTTACTGATTTGTTTGTTGATAGTGTGCTTTACTCACTCAAAAAATAACAGAAAAAAAAAAAGTTAAATAAAAAGATCTTAATCAATTAGTGGTGACATCTGACCCGGGCACCGTCTCTCATTTTCCAACTTTAACCCTCTGCCCCCGACTCCTCTGTGTCCTTGGTGCGTTGACTTGTCCTTTCCTCCCAGATTTGGCTACCAGTCAGGCACCCACATAAGGTCATTTGATCTTTGATGTGAAGCCGCTTGGCGTTGCCTCTCCAACGTGGGAGCTACGATTGCAGCCTTTGATCGCACCCTTGATGTGAGTGATGGAGAGGTGTTTATGCAGTAGCCGTCTGCAGCCAGCCGAATCGCTGGCAGCGGCTCCCCCCACCCTCCCTCGAAACTCCCTCCTTAACGCCGACACTTGATGTTTGGCGTCTCTGACAGGTAAATCACAACAGTGACCTCGCAGAGCTTTCACTGAACTACTCGATCTGCTGTACGCTGTCAAGTCCACATACCTTCGCTCTCTGTCTTTCGCCACTGAAATATGACGGTCAAACCCTCCGATCATACCAGTGTTGAAATGGTTTGTTCCCACAGATAAGCAGCTTGACTTGGAAAATTAATAAAGGCAGAGAGCACACATGAGGGGGGGAGAGGAGGGTCTGAAGAGTGTGCATGAGGGCATATGTGACTTTCTTTTTACACACAGGCTTACCCGTGTTTAAGAAAAAAAATGTAAAAAAAAAAATAGAAAAACATACACGTTGACTGACGAGAGGAACTTTAATGTGCCATAACAAGCAGCAAAAAGTGGCCATGTGTATGCAAAATGCTGTATGTCATTTCGTGAACCCCTTTAGTGAATGAAAACGTAAATCCAAATATATACCACGGTCGCACATAAACACAGACAAACACAAACCGCATGTTGCAGGCAGTGAGTGACAGAGCTCTGCACGGTTACGGAGAAAAACAGGTGATTCGCACAGAACTCGTGTCCTGACACATACTGCCCTTGCAGAATTTTCTTGGCTCTTAAACTTTCACATTTTGTATCCCTACAAGTGTAAGCTGCAGCGTATTTCACTAAGATTTCATGCAATCGACCAACACAGAGCAGTGCATGAAAAAATAAAAAAATCTCAGTGTGGTTTCCAGAGTGAATACCTTGGGGGGTTTTGTTAATCGTGACTCTACCAGTTTAGAGGCTTTTGATCTCCTAGATAGTCCAGGTTCCCTGGTTAGACAAAGCAAGGAATGATAAAATAAAATAAAAATTGCTGCTTTTTCAAGCTGCTCAGTATCAGCAGGCAAGGCAGCATTAAAGGTGGCCTGTCGGAGTCCCTCCTGCCCTCCAGCCCATCTTAAAGCAGGAAATCTTCTAAGTTCTGGGACAGGATGAAATGCTGTGCAATCCTTTACAAAGCAGGGGGACTATAAAATAGTCCCCTTGTTGCCAGTTGCACACAAAGGTTGGGATGTAGCCTTTCACTACAAAGGCATAAAATCAATAGAAAATTTGTTCAAGGTGTAAATGACAGAGAAGTTAAATGTTCATATCAAATGCTCATTCGCCCGTCTCTCTAACGTAGCCTATGTGTGCGAACAGCTTTAAGAAATGTGACTTTCTGCCTGTTGTTCACCTTCTGTTTCATTCACTGGATGGTCTAGTTGTGTTCTCACCATAAGCCCCACCAGAGTTTCATTTGCAAGCAGACTAAAACCCTGAGTTCAGAAGAGCTTTCACACCTGCCTGCATGAAACAGGCCAAGGAAATGAACAATGTTCCATATAAAGCTCATCAAATGTATATTTGTGTTTTTATTTGCAAAGTTGGACGAAGAACATCCTTGAACGTCGGCTCTTGTCTGTCAGACATTCATTTAAAAACGCACAAAAAAACCCCTGCATTTCCAATGGATCTAGACTTTGACTAGGGCATTCAAACTAATTAATGCTTTGATGTCACTATTTGTAATAGGTGTTTTCTAGGACTGCCCTATATTTAGCTCCATCCATCTTCTCCTACGCCACAACACAGCTCCCCTTTCTCTGCTGAAGAAAAGCATCCACACTGCATGATGTCACCGTCACCCTTCAAAGTGGGTATTCGTCAAGCAGTTTTAGTTTTCTTTCACGTAAACTATTTATTTTTAAACACGTGTGCCATCCTGTCTTTTAAGAGATCTATTTAAAAACATAAGTAAGAACAATGTACTGTCACCGTTTCATTTCACAATTATGGTGTACTTAAGTTATCCTATCACAAAAAGTCCCCCAAAAAATACATTGAGGTAGTGCTGACAAGTTCATGGGGTCTG